TTTTTTTTGTTTTTAGTATATAAGGGCATATGCAGATAGATTGGACATAGAGATAACTGAGTCAAGCGAACAGTAGGCACCGTAAGTAAAGTGTGTGAATCGCTGTGAATTATAGCGTGTGTTTATCAAAGTAGTTAAGTTTAAGTGACTGTGGAAATTCTGTGTATTGCAAAGTTGTAGCGAGAATGAATAAACTAGTTTAATTGAGAAAGGACTTGTATCGCTGAAGTTTCTCAGAAAGAATTTCTACGGGAAATTAACAAACAAGCAGATACGTAACAGTATATAGGATAGGTAATGTATGCCACTCACCTACATAGTCATATATAGAGTAGGCAAATTACGTGCCATTCACTCTAAGGTCATATATGAGATAAGTAATAGTGTATCACTTATTCTTATGTTCATTTATGAGATAGATAATAGCGTGCCATTATCCTTAAAGGCCACATTTGAAATGAGTAACCCAATATTATTGGTATGAATGTTCATTTATAGAGTAAACACTACGGTCTTACTGAGCTTATTGGTCGTAAATGGGACAGGGAACCTCACAAGGACGTGGGTGATAAGGGTGCAACAACACCCCCTTGTTTGACGTAGTTATTATCTTATACGGGGTTTCAATTTCTAACAATGGCTTTCAGCACCCTTTCTACAGAAATTTTTCCAGCATCAATGGAACCCCATGCCACCGATCTAAACGGCCGTATAAAGAAAATAGGCAACAGTTGGTACCACTAGTCTAAATGGTCATATATGGGAAAGGTAACCATATACTACTAGCTTAAATAGTCTTATAAATGTTAAGCACCAGTCTAAATAACTATATATATAATCAGCTGATAGTTGGTATAATACTTACTGTTCATCAATATGTTTCCCACCCTCGGCTTCCTCGCCCACCTTAACCTTCATCCAAAATCTACTCCAATTCTCTCCGACCCACTTACCTATTCGTATTTTTTATAATAAAAAGTAAAACAGGTAACCTGGTGCAATACCTCCAAAATAGTAACAGGAGTACGTTATCGCATGCCAATAAGGTAATACTCAACTTGTTACTCCTTGTAAATTCATATAATTTATACGTTACAGTGTACGGGATATAAAGCATGACGGATACACATAATCCATACATAAGAAACGCTTGAAATGCATTAAAATATTTTCACAAATGCTGTAATGCATGTTTTTTTTTCTTATATCAAATGTAGCGCGATTTATTTTAAAATTGAACTGAGGTTTCATTACTTACCCTTTAGAAATGATTTTCACTAGCACAACCTTGGTGTAGAGAGTATATCAAGTGTGGTGAGTTGATTTCCCGCGTCTGAACTGTTAGTGTTATTTTATATCAACTGCAGCCTTAGAAAGAACAAGAAAACAGAAATTGCATTCTAAGTCATTTTTATATAAACTATCAAATGAGTGAAAAAATGCAATATAAACCGGGAGATCTGGTATTTGCAAAAGTAAGAGGATACCCACCATGGCCAGCTAGGGTATGTTATTTATGTCGTTCGTAATTGTGAGTGTGCAGTCATATTGAATGAAATATGTAATTATTATGTTACAAGTTAGGCTTAGGTCGATGATGAATAATAATATAGTCGTGAGTTTTGTTTTAGTTATTCACTTATTGTACGTGTTAATTTATTCTAAAACTAATACTAGTAATAGTGTTTGATACTGATGTGTAGAAGCGTATGATATATGTTATTATTAGGCATAGCATCGTAATAACTAATGTCTGTGTACTTTGATAGATTTTTTTAGGCAGAGTATTCATGATGAAACTAGAATGGACGGCAACTGCCTGTTCCTGAAGACGAAAGGCGGAAGACTTTCGAAACGTCGTCCTATACACTTGTGTCTCTACAATAGGCAGTTGCAGTCCATTCTAGTTCTACAAAGTTTCATCAATTAACGTCTGTGATTCTCCGAGTCTGACGTGTTCTTAAAAAATACATCGAAAAAAAAGTTCAAAACAAAAAAAAACATAAACGAAATTAAAAGATGTCTGTAATAAATATTAGTTTGTTTATAAAAGTTATATTTTATGCTTTGAACAACATCATGACTTTGATATATGCCAATAACATCCACAATAGACCACATTCAGTACAAATACAAGTTACAACATACTAAGTCAATAATAATTCTATAATACTATTGTGGTGTGAACAGATTTTTGGTTATAATTATTTTTACACACACATTTTTCTTTACCATGTTGAGATACTGTGTTTGACTATATATTTATATATATTTTTTACAGTATTTGTATATAATTATGGTATTATTATACATATAACTTATCAACACTGTGAGAGGGTTTGTTAAACACTTTAGATATTTTATGAGGTTGTTAAGTAACAAATCATAAAACGTTTGAGAGCATCATTCCAGGTTATTACTTACGTTTCTTTCGTGATTTTTTTTACATTTTTTAAGAACATATTATTAGCATCTTTGTTCTGTACTTTGCCAAATACTTTTTTTTGGGAACAAAATGACAATTTATACTGTATTTAAAAAAGCAATTAAAGAATTTCTTAAAAACATGTCAGTAGCAGATCTTTATGATTCAACATTAAAAGTAATAAAAAAATAAATCTGGAAAGAAATTAACCCATTCTGAACAATCACTATTAGGCATTACAACAAAAATGTTCATAATGTTTTTTAAAATTTTAACCACATGACATTTCGACACAGAAAAATGTTATAGTTTAGTTACTTCAATATCAAATACTTTGTGTGTAGAACGTCTGTTAAGCATACACATTTCATAAGAAGCTGTTGTTAAATCTGCATATTTCAAATCGAAATGGAAATATTTTGTGCAATGCCTAAAGAGTGTTTAGTGATTCGTATAGGTATAAAAATCTGGTATTGACAAGTTATCATGATACTTTAACTTTGTGAGATCCAGCTGTGTCGATTTGATGAACCCATTGTATTGTTTGTTTTATTGCATTGTGAAAAAAATTATAACATGAAATAGTTTGAAACTTAAGAATTGTTTTTCGTAGCTCCTTCATGTGTGATATTTGTATCAAGTCACAGCTTTTACATTTAGAAAATATTTCTCTGTTATAAGTTTATAAATAAACAGTTTAGAATGTTTACATTTGTTGTAGATTCTATTTACTGATTATTGTGTCTTTCTACATACTTTTAAAACTTTTCTATTAAGATTTTATTTTATAAAACTGTAAATTTTATCTTTGTTTTGGTTTTAAAAACAGGACATGAAGTTTCACTGTGTTTTCGGTCACAGGCATACAATAAAAATAACTTTCTTACCATACCCAAAATATGAGCAAACTGACATTTAGTATATGTAATGAGTTTTAAACCATTTCATATTCATTTATTTGTTGTTATTTTTGCCCATTCAAAGTTATTTAGGCTGATCTTAAAGCATATAAAGCCTAACACAGTGGTCTTGTTGGAGAAATGAAAAATGAAATTTGATATGGTTGAGTGCTAAAAGATTTAATTAAACCTTTCTCATCTTATTCTACAAAAAATATTCCTGTATCACAAACTTTAAAAAAAAATCTGGGCAGTAATTCTGGTGTCAGTTGTTCATAAACACTTTTTTTTAGAGAAATATCACCAAGCTAAGCTTTTATCACTTTATTCTATTCTTCATGTAAATCCACATTGAACTGAAAGCCTTTTTAGCTCTTACATTTGAAAAAAAAAGTTTTCATGATTGGCTAGGGATTAGTAATCTGTGACTTCTTGAGGCTGTGATACAGGCATTTACGTTACACCATGAACAATTGAGCTGAGAAACAGTGACTGTTTAAAAATCAATGAAAATTATACATATTAAAGTTACAAGGACAAATTAGTACTATTTGTTCAACACTGTTATGACTTTCTTTCTAGGCAGTTGTAAGTGCCATAATGTATTCAGAAAAATTTCAGGAAATTGATAAACACTAATAATTTTGTTGGAGGTGCACTAAAATCACCCCCCCCCCCCCAAAAAAAGTTTTTTATTTATATGTGTGTATGTGAAAAAATGACTACAAGTTTATTTTCTATTTTTTTTTTTATTCAACTGTGCAATTCTGCACTTGAGATGAACTGCACCCATCTGGGCATGAAATGGTTAATGCTTATAGAATAAGGAAATAATTGGCTACTGAATTTGATCAAATCCAACAGAAATTTTATAATTTCATTTCCAAGGGGTCATCTGGTCTATCTCGGGTATCCCATATTTTACTGATCTCCATACTACATGTAGAAATCTCTTTTCCTGTATCAAACATTGATCTCTAAAATATTCATCCAATCTCATTTAAAATTTCTTCAATATTACATAGTCTACCACAGCTAAAGGTAAATCATTTCATATTTCTGCCACCTTACTAGGAAAGTAACATTGCTTTATTCAGAGTAATGTCTTACTTTCTGATATCTTGAATTTTTACCTTCTTGTCATATTGCCTGGAAAGTTTTGTTGGTTAGATTAGTAATCTGTGACTTCTTGAGGCTGAGATACAGGCATTTACGTTACACCATGAACAACTGAGCTGAGAAACAGTGACTGTTTAAAAATCAATGAAAATTACACATATTAGTACTTTATTCAGAGTAATGTCTTACTTTTTGATATCTTGAATTTTTACCCTCTTGTCTTATTGCCTGGAGAGTTTTGGTGATTTGATTAAAGTTAAATTTTTGGGACTTGAAGAAAGATGGGTTTATTTGATGTAAGGTGGTTGGGTGAGAGAAAGCAATAACTTGATAATAAACACCCTTCACAGTGCTGTCAAAATGCTCCAGGAGCTGAGGATTTCTTCTGGTAAAATATATATTTGGACCCATCTATTTATACAGTTAATATCTTCATCATTAACATGCATTTAAATACAGATCTACCAACTTGTTTTCCACATTATATTTTTAACACGCACTCATCAGGTCATTGGCTGAGAAATTGCTCAATTTGTTAACCCCCTCTAGTGTTACAATTATTCTTAATTATGGAATGAATTTTAAACTGTTTTTATGCTGGTTGTGCAACTTTTTCTGAGATGGAAGCTAAAAAAATTTGAAGGTGACTTAATAAGGTTTTTGGTGTTTTTCTGTAATATTGGAAGTGAATTATCAAAATATCAATTACTGCTTGTGAAGGAACAGAAAATATTTTGTTAAATTTTCACTTTAGAAACTTTGTTAAAATTTTGTATAAGATATGTTTATGATTGAACAGACGTGAAGTTATGAACATAATTTTCATTTTTGTCTTACCTGAATGTCCTAATACAAAGATAACAAAATTTGGTGAGTCCTTGTGAATTTCTCATTGTACCATGAATGGATATTCTACAACAGTGTGTGCATGTATAATCACCCTATTGTAATTGTTTTATTTTAAATAAAATATTGTACACATTTATTAGATTCTATCCTGCATAGAGCAAGTAAGATGTTATTATGATAAATGAAATCAAGCCAAGCATGCTCTTTTGTTAAAATTTTCTGTCTTATTTAACTCTTGGGAGGGCCTTATTCAGGGGATGGTGTAATGGGTTCAGACCCCTAGGGGACACAATATTCTCAAGTTTTCCAATGATAATTTGAACATACTACATAGTTTTTCTTGTGATAATTTGTTTTAATTTTGTGTATCATATGTATAGTGAATATAGAAAAGAACCAAATGAATTCATTTTGAAACAAGTTTTTAATTTTAATGTTGCTCAAAAACAAGGTTTAGCTGTTCTAAAATGTATAAAATTTAAATTTCGGGGGGATTTTACCCCCTTAACACTTGACAAGTGGTACTACTACCTTGACCCATGCTTGGGAAGGATGCTCAACCCCCATACTACTTTAGAAACCTAACCATCTCCTTTAAATAATAATGACACTCCTGAATTAATCAAGTTAGAACTTTGGTACTAATGGAGTGTCTCAGTGGTATGTGCTTTGGCCTTCACTTTTCTTATTTACATTATTATATTTATAGCCTGATAGGGGGCAATAATTAGTATATTACTTTGCTGATGACATTAAACTGTAAACATAAATAAGAAAAAGCAAATGTTCAAACACTGACCCCTGAGCACTCCACTTGTAACAATGATCCTGTTTGATTTGACTCCTTGATATTAATAACCTTTTAATTTCTCTTGTCCAACCACCATACAATCCAGTTAACTAGTCCTTTCTCTACTGATGTGTTTTTCTTAGCTTTATCTTCTGTGTGGTACCTTATCAAAAGATTTATGAAAATATAAGTTGTTGTTGTTGTTTTTTTTTGGGGGGGGGGTGATATGCCATGGAATGACATGTGAAATGGTTACATTGTGAAATTAAGTGTAATATTTCAAGTTCAAAATAACATTATTCAAAGCAATAATTATATTGTAGGAAATACATTTTTCCTGATTGTCATATTTCATTACTGTAAATAAGTGAACATTTTTTAAAGGAAGAATGGCATTTTAAAGTTAATAATTCATTGTATGTCATGAATAGAGTTAAAATATTGATAAATAGAATTTCTTAATTACAAAAAATAAAATTTTATAGTAGGGTAGAATGTGCTGAGGTTTGAAGTCAGAAAATTGTTACAATTATGGTCTCTTTTTAGTTCAAAATATCAAAAGTACTTCTGAAAGAGAAAAGATTTCTAAGCTTTTCACCTTCTTTAAAGGAGAGGAAGATATTTTATTAAGTTCTATTTCTTAATAATAATAAAAAAAGTGCAAACTTCTTAAGAGTGAAACTACTGGTCTTCATAGAAGGGATATTTCTTTTTGTGATAGAGCATGTCGTTTTTTTGGATGAGAACCCTTATATGAATACCCTTCAAAACCCGAAATCATTCTGATTATGCTTTTTTAAGTTCTCTTCAATAACTTGACATACTTGAACAAGTTGACCAAAACTGAACTCAGTATTTCAAATGAGGTATTATCTATGGTTTAAGAAGCTTAAGCTCTGAGACTGGGTTTAGTTTTATGCTTGTTTTCTCTGGAATATCGAAGATTTAGAAGTTATTTAATATAGCAGCTCAAAATTGTCAGTGAACATAGGTGGTAGGAAACAAAAGTTTTTACTTTATTCTCTAGTACCAGTTATGTCCTTTGCAGTAATTGATATTTAAAAATTAAGCTGTTTATAGATTAAATTCTAGATAGATATAATGCTAAGATCCCTTTTTTAACTAATAGTGGTAGTATTAATTACTAGTACTGTAGCTATGATGCACACAGTGTCTCTAGCTAGATACTAATTACCAATTTAAATAATTTATTATGTATTAAATTCTCGGTATCCATAATTAATATGTATAAAATAAAAAATAACATTCATCTCTCAAAAAATGATGCATATTTGACCAGGATACACTAGCTTATTGGCTCTCTGTAGCACTGCTTTAAAATGTACTAATGAATTCATAAGTTGCATAATTTTCTGTGAATTTCTTACTGATGATACACAATGTGAGTTATGTCTACATATGTATGTGTGTGTTGTTTCTTGTAATTTAAAAACAAAGAAGTGTTTTTAGGTGTGTTAAAAATTGTTTACAAGTACATTTCAACATATACTAAGTTATGTTAGAAAATGCGACAGTGATACAAATGTGACACATACAGTATTACAACTATGTAATATTTTAAAAACAAAGATTATACGTTTCCAGTTAACTCTTTGGCTGTGGCTGCTTTAAATGTGCACAAAATTTTTGTGATTCGTACACTGTATACGGCACACTTACATTCAACTGCTGGAGGCAGGCCATACCCTATACAGATACTCAGCAGTCAATGGGTTAATAAACTGCTGATTTTCAATTTTCCAGAATTTGTGAATGCTTTGTTTGAGAAAATAAGGTATTAAAAATTACTTATGAAATTTACAAGTAGAACATAAATTATTAAGTAAGATTCAAATAAATTCTAAATATATATTTTAAGAGAGAGATATACTAAATTTAAAAAAACATTTTAGGTTGAAGAAAAACCCCCACCAGGAAAAAAGGTACCACCAAAAAAATTTCCTATCTTGTTCTTTGGAACCTATGAAACGTAAGTTGTTTATCTTTTGCTTGACTTTTCTGATGTAAGTTACGTTCAGTCATATTTGGAGATTTAATGATCAGACTCAAGATAAAATATTTTAAGTCTTGGTATACAAGTTCTATCTAACTTTCCCAGTAACGTATATTTGCAGTTAATTTAATGATAAAATATTGATTTTTGATTATAAGTGTGTTATACGGACTATACGGTAAAAATGGATTTTTGAAAAAAGTTTCATTCTATGACTAAGACCTTGGTAATAAACAAAGTTTTAATTGTAGCAGTTTTTTCTTTATAGAATAACTGGGTGCAGTATTTACCCATTGAAAAAGGCAAACATTAATTTTGTCATAGATTTTATTAACTTGTTTAAAAAGTATTTCATTCATTGAAGCAACACTCCAAAAATGTGTTGCATGTAGATATCATTATATCAAGTCTTGTACACAATACTGTGTACAATATATAGGAAGAGCTATACTTTGTACTTAGCTTGATAGACATATAATTTCTGCATAATCTTCATATTTACACCACTTCTTGATGTCTTCTTACTGGTCCTTACTCGGTGGAACTGACAAACAAATATAATAGCAATATTTCGATTACTTGGATAGTTGGAATTTATTGAAACCATAATTTTGATTAATTGACCATCAGAATAATTGAAAATGGTAATAATCTGAAATGCTAACTGATGTTGCCTCGTTATACCTCTAAGCATTTGTAAAAGTTTAATTTTGACATTTTGTTGCAAGTATTTGACTTGCCTTATATTCTTGATCTTAATAATGTTTCTCCTACAATTTTAGATATGATGAAACCTTTTCTTAACATGCTTTTACTATTATTGTCTGTATGAGAATGTTTGTTTTATTAAAAGCTTAAATATAAACTGTAATAAAATATAATCTTAATTTGACAATTTAAATTGAATTTTTTTTGCAAATGAACTATAAAAATGTTAACCTCTTAAATTTCCATGATCTGTTGTCCAGAATTTAATTAAACTAGATGTAAAATAAATAGAATATTTTTAGTTTGATAACTCTAACATAGTAAGCCAATTTGGCAAACTTTTTTTCATGTTGTCTCTGTTGGAACTTATTTCAGTTTGATCTGATTTTTTGTGTGTGAAACAATGATTGGATTATGTTAAATGGTCAGAGACTTTGACAAAGTTATTTCACTGATAAATCAAGTAACCTATTGTTGTGATGTCATTTGCTGTACCCATTTGAAAACTTGTCCAATAGTGTTTTGAAATTATTATCTTTACGTGAGAGAATTTGACTCCATTTTTGGGGAGTTTTTGATGAAATTTTGGACTGTGATTATTTTCTGTCACCTGCATTTTTTGTGTGTCTTACACATTAAAATTGTTGTGTTATTATCACATATCTGTTGTTAAAGCAATGGATAATGTTTGTGCACCTGATTTTCTCTTTAAGCCTTTGATAACTTGGAGAGATTACCACATGTTTCCTTCCTATTAACTTTTTTCTTCCTCTTTGTTGCTTGATACCAGACAGATTATCTCCTCAGATTAATTCCACTTATTTAACTTTTTTCTTTTTAAGTTCCATATTTCATACTTTGGTATGTTCTTCTGGTGACTAGAATTAGTACTGTAGTCTATTTATTTATTTAT